CGTCGGGAGTGCGGCAGCCCGCGCCCACCCCGCCTCTTTGCAAAGTAACTTCTGGGGCTGTCCGGGCGCCCCTTCGCCGCAGACTGGGCGGACTCGGGCTCCTTGGAGGGCCGCGCCAGGGGCAGGGTGGACTGAGTCGCCCTGGAAGCGAAGCGAGAGGGCGGGAGAAAGAAAGAAAGAGCGACGGCTGACTGAGGGGGGGACCGGGCTTGCGGACCAAGACCCCGGAACCGAGAGGGGTGATCCCCTGGGGGGGGAAGGGTGGAGCCCGTGGAAGGAGGGCTGGAGGGGAAGGGAGAGGAGGTGAGTGAAGGGAAAAGGTGAAAGAGGGCTGGGGTGGTAGATGGAGGGACAGACGGACAGAAAAGGAGGCGCACAGGGAGCAGACAAAAGGACACAATGGAGGGAGAAGGCAGATGGACGGCAGGAAGGAGCCGATCCCAAGAGGAGGACTTCGGGGGCAGACCTAACTGATGGGCAGGACGGGAGAGGGGGAGACAGTGAGGGCAGGGTCGAGGTGGTGGCAGAGGGAGAGAGAGGAGGGAAAGGATGGAGACGTCTGTAAGGCGGTGGACAGATGGGCAGACAGTGGGGTAGGAGAGACGGAAGGAAAGCAGAGAGGACAGGAGAGAAGGACACGCTAGGAGAGAAGCGGGTGATGAGAACTCAGGGAGGGAGACCAGACCTGGGACATAGGTGGCCAGAGATCGGAGCTCGGAGGCCAGACAGGAAATGAGAGCCCTCGGGGTGGCCCCCGAGGCAGGTCCCGGCTTTCCGTGGAGATCACAGGGACCCCACGCACACTCCCAGCTCCCTCCTGCTCTCTGGCTGTCTGGAAGGAGTTCCCCAAGAAAGCCAGAGTCACCTTCTTCTGCTTGTCTTCAGAGTGCCTCCCTTTCTCCTCCTGAGGGGAGAGTGTCCCGCCTGGCCCTGCTCTCTCCCTGCACTGCTGCACCAGGCTTCCTGAGGTCTGTTTCTGGAGGCCTCAGGGGCTTCTCCTGGGAGTCCCACCTGAGTGAGGGTGCCAGGCCATTTATTCCACAGGTGGAACCACGTTTTTTTTCCATGCATCCCCCTCCTTGGGCCTCGCTCCTCAAATGCCCTCATGTCTGTGGGTGTCTCCCCTGGGCTTTGAGGCTCTTGGTCCCCAGAGGACTGCTGCCTGTGGGTATCTCTCCACCTCTGTCCCTCCTGTGTCTTGTTTGTCTCTGTGTCCCTTTACTCTGTGACTGGAACCCCAACAGCAGGTCCCCAGCAGAAACAAACCAAAGTCAACAGCATAGCCTGGGGGGAGGGGGGCTGGGCTACCCTGCAGAGGGAACCTCCAGCCCAAGGCAAGAGGAAGGCTGGGGACCAGTGGGGACAAATAACCCAAGAGTCCTGTCCCAGCTCTTCTAGGGCTCCCTGCTCTCTCCCCACCTCCCCAGCAAGGACATGTTTATAAGGCACATCAGGAAGTGGCCCTACCAGCCTCTCACCAGCACCCATCAGTTTCCATCCTGATAAGGTCCCCTCTAGGTGGGTGATTGGGGGTAGGTGCAAGGGGGTCTCAGGGCCCCAGGGCCCAGGCCGATTCCCTTCTCTTGTTCCCACACACTGGCCCTTCGGAAGCGGCTAGAAGCATGTGTGCAGCCTGCTGCCCCCCCTGGTCCCGTCTCAGAAGTGGCCTTAGCGCCTGCCCCCCAGTGCTCAAGCACTTAGACTAGCCCTCTCTCTCTCCTGAGGCAGTGCCGCTCCTGCACGGGATCCCTCATGCCAGTCTTTCAGAAGGCCCTTCCCCGAAGCTCCTGTGGCCCCTGGCCTCAGTGCCTCTGACTCTGGCAGCCACCTCCTCCCAGCCTCAGTTCCACCCAGCCTTTGGGCAGCTGCAGAGGGTGGGTGCTCCCCCACCCCAGGCAGATACAGCCCCCTGGACAGTGGAGCCTAGGTGTGGGGTGGTTCTGTCATGTTTCTTTTCTGGCGCCTCTCTTCCTTCAGGCACCTGGGGACTGGGATAGAGGAGGAGTCCTGGGCATGGAAGGGAGCAGCTCACTTAGAGGCCCTCACCTGTGGACTTAGACCAGAGCCAGCCAGCAGAATCGTTCAGAATGTATAGTCTTGGGGCCCGGGTGCTATAGGGTAAGGCCAGAGGCATGAGAGAAGGGGGGCATTTTCAGCTTGCCCCTGGGGGCTGCCCTCAGGACAGGGGCTGAGACTCCTTTGTGCTGTCCTCCTGGGTCCTTGCTCTCTGTCCCCACCTATGTATTGTATGCATAGCCGGCAGAAGTAACAAGCACGGGACAGCCTTATTCTGCATCAGAACCCAGTGTGTCCCTGACAGCAGCAGCCTGGGTAGAACAGACCTCGCCGGGCCTTGGTTCCTGGTCTGGTCTGGAGCCGAGGACTTGGCCAGCATTATCGTGGATTCTCTCCTCACTGTGTGACTTGTGCCCTGAAGGGTCCTCTCCCTGCCTGAACTCTGTGTGCATGCATGTGTGTGCGTGTGTGTTTGTGTGTTGGCTTGTACTCACACAACACATGTCTATTTTGCATTATTTTGCATGACAGCTATTTCAGGCCGAAGGTGTATGTGTGTTAGGGGCAGGAGGCGGGGAGTTCCAGGAGCCCTCAAAACCTAGACTGAACCTGAGTTTAGAAGTTGGGATATGGCCAGCTGGTGGTATAGAGGCTAAGGAGGCTCAATTCCACATAGCCAACTTCGTGGTTCAAATCCCAGACCCGGCAGCTTGAAAACCATGCTGTTCGTGTATGCGTGTGTGCCCAAAATCCCAAGAGGAGAGTGAAGGAGATGGGATTGCAGCATGACCATCCCCCTTGGAGGGTGACTTTCTCATTTTCCCTCTCTCTCTCTCTCTCTCTCTCTCTCTGTCTCTCTCTTTCTCTCTGGCAAGTGCACATGCCCTATAACAAAAAAATTAATAAATGAAAAGTAAACAAATAGAAGCTGGGATATGAAAATCGTGCCCAGATTTCCGAGGAAGGGCATTGAGAGGGCCAGAGAGACTGCACCGGCGGACGAGCCCGTGTCAGCCCAGTGAAAGGTGTGGTTCCCTCACTGAACACTGTAGCCCAGGAATGTGGACGCTAGGAGAAGAGTCCTCTATGTCCACAACGAGGGCCTGGGAGGGACCCCACCATCAGGTCGCCTGCAGGAGCCCTCTGGTGTGACTGCTCTTCCCTCCACCTGGATTTCCCCATCTGCAATCCGAAGGGGATGGATCTACCCTCTTCCCAGGACCCTTCTGAGTCCAAGTTCTAAAAAGAGAGCAGAGGAAGGTTGGAGCAATGCTGTGGGGACCTCAAGGCCCCTAGAGGGAGACTTTTTCTCCAGTGTCCCTAAGCCTAAGTTTTCCCATCTTTTGAGTGGGATTAATAGCACCACTGAACAAGGTCACCGTGAAAATAAATGTGCCCGACATATCGGTGCGCTGTGCCTGGAGCAGCTGCCTCGGAGAAGCTCCAGTTGCTGCTTGTCACACAGGACTGTCCTATGACGGCTGCTATTCTTAATTATCCTGGTGACCCACAGAGGGGCTGAGGCAAGCGCCCCCCTGCCCCACACCACCCGCTGCCTGCTTCCTGGACACACCTCACCAGTTGCTTCTCCCCCTGCCCCACAGGGACACTCGATGTGGACGAGTGCTCAGAGGGCACGGATGACTGCCACATCGATGCCATCTGCCAGAACACACCCAAGTCCTACAAGTGCCTCTGCAAGCCGGGCTACAAGGGGGAAGGGAGGCAGTGTGAAGGTGAGTCCAGCCCAGCCCCGTGGCCTGATCCTGCAGCTGACAGGGCCCTGTAGGTGACTACTCCACTGAGTGCCAGCCGGGCCGAGCACAGGCTTCTCTCGGCCTGGAGAGGGGGCTTCAGATGCCCCTGGGACCTCAGGCTGCTCCTGGAGGGTGGAGTTTGAAGTCACGAGGCGCCTGATACCCACCTGGGTTTGAAACTTCCTGTTTGTTTTAAGAAATTGAGGTGTTATACTTGTTTTGCTGTCCTTGCTGGATGTGTTGAGGGTGAAAGGTAACACCCTGGAGTGACCCCCAGCTCCCTAATTTCAAATGTCCACCCTGTGTGGCCTGTGGCTTCCCCAAAGGATCCACTCAGTGGCTGGCCAAGGCTCACTCAGTCTGCATCTCGAGCTCCAGAGCCTGGATGGAGGCTGGCAGATTGGTGCCATCTGCCCATCCAGCCTCCCTTCCCAGCACTTGGGGTACTGGCTGACCATGTGGCATTAGAAACTGTTTCTCTGGTAGGGCCAGGCCTGTGGCGCAGCAGTTAAGGCCTGTCCATGGAGAGCCAGATCTCATATGACTGACCACGGTTTGAATCTTGGCCCTGGTGGCTTGAAAACCACATTGGAGCTCTCTGGGCTCGGGCCTAGCTGGCGGCAATATCGTAAACGCACCACAAAGGTCGGCACTGTCGATAACTCCGGGACCTGCTACGGTGCCTCCCTCCGGAAAATGGTGCAGAAAACTGAAATCAGCCAACGTGCCAAGTTGGCTCCTTGCGTTGGCAAAACCAAGAAGCAGAGACGGGCTCCTGCATGAACACGGTAGCCAGTGGTACTGGGACCTACAGCAGCACTTCGGAAGACTGGCGCAATCGAAAGACCAGCAAGCTCCATAGACCTTTGGGTGAACTCTCACTCACCCACAATAAGTAGGTCAGTTCATGTAGCCAAACAGAAAGGAAGGAAAGCCCCACTAGATGTGCGTGCGTGTGTGCCCCAAACCCTGACGGGAGGGAGAAAGGGAAGGGAGGGAAGTGTGGCATGGCCACGCCTACTGGGGCTCGCTCCCTCCAGTGATCGCACACCCTCTGGCAGGTACGAGACACAGATAAATAGTCTCCCCCGTGGGCAGACGTCGAAGTTGAGGAGACAAGAGCAGCCACGGCGGTGTTTGGAGCCAGGCCTCCCCATGCCAGTTGGGCCCTCGGGAGCATTCGTCCACGAGGGTCTGTGCCACCACCCTGACTCTGTGGGTCTGCGGCAGGGCTCGGCAGGGGCTGGAGGTGGCTCTCTCACCACCCTTCGATAGTCACGGACCCTGTTCTTCCCTCCGGCCCCCATTGTACAGATGAGGAAGACAGGTTTGAAGGGAAGACGCGTCTTTACCTTTACCAAGTCCCCAGGTTCATGATGACATGGCAAAGGCCCAAGTCTTCTAATGTCCATCCACGTGGGACTCTGCAGCATCTCGTTTCCTTCTCCCTGAACCCCACCGGCTCAGTTTTTCTAAGTGTAAGATTTGCCTTAGGGAAGTGTCCAGTGAAAATGAGACAGGTGCCCATTCTCTCTGGAGAAGACTTTGCTGGGACTGGAGTTGGGTAGGGGAAGCAGCTATGCCTGCTTGGATTCCCAGCATCGTTTATCCAACTCATGAACATCTACTTATGGCTGAGTGCTGGGCAGATGCCCTTCTCCTGGGTCGTGCCTACCTTGGCCATATCCTGGCTTGTTCAGAGCCCAGAAGCCAGAGAGGCAGCTGGCCCCTACCCACGGGTCCATGGAAGGAGCCAGGCTGCAGGCAGATCAAGCAGATCTTCGCAAGAAGCCTAATGGGGGAGGCTGGCTTGCCTGTTGGCAGGGGCTGGAGGTCAGCTTGCTGGTGTGATGGCACATGGGAGGCTGTGTATGACCGCTTTCTAACCTCTGTTCTGCCCCCACACACAGTGCGCTTGCAGGGGAGGGCTTCGTTGGCACACCCACCTGATCTCTGCCAGTTTAAGCCATCAACCTGGCCCATTCTCCTCCAGCCCATCTTCTTAGGTCCTCTCCTGCTGTCCTCTACCCAGAGGCCCTACGTCATTTCCTGCCTGTTTTCCTGAAGCATTCAACTCGAACTCCCAATCTCCTTGAGTCAGGTTAGGAGACAGACTCTTGTCCCAAGTCCCGCTTTAAACTCACTGGCTCTATGGGTTCCACATCCTTATCTGCTATAGAGGAAAATCGTCTTGCCCTCCTGGGTGTGAGGATAAGATGGGAGGCTTGTAATGTGTTCAGAAACTGCCAGGGGTCTCCCTGCCTGTCTCTCCAGCCAGGCTCCAGCCCCAGCCCTTCACTGCCTACAACACGACACCTGTCTCCTGGTCACACACACACATACTGGCTGGTGCCACGTTTCTGAGCCCCGCTCAGGTCTTCCTCTAGCCCAAAGTTACTTTTCCTCTTTTTGTGTCCATACTAAATCTAAAAGCTAATCAGTCTTTAGATTTGCCTCCTCCAGGAAGCCATCCCTGATATCTCTACTTACACACACATGCACAATGGGCCGCATACTCTGCTCCCAGAGTCCCCGGGCATCCCTCCGTCACTGCACTTCTGACTCAGGATTATAATTGCATGCCTTGCTTCTCCCCCCCCCCGAAGTGTGAGCTCCTTTCTGAGGCCCTATCATAGGTGTTGGGGCCACCCCCCCTAAAGCTGAAAAATGCAGGCCATGCCTCCAGTACTCACAGCAAGCTCCTCAATACGGAGAGCTCTGTATGCTGGCCAGCACTGAGCAGGGCCCGACTCTGGCAGGGGTGGCAGGGAATGTTTGGTTTGAACTGGCCCGTTTTTGCCCATTTTGGAATTCACATCAGATGAGCCACCTAGGAGACCCCACAGAGGGGAGAGAGTGGGATGGGCAGTGTGGAGCACTGGGTCCGTGGGGTCTTGCCATGAAGTCGTCCTGAGCCTGTGTAGGGGAGTGGAGGGCAGGGACAGGCCTGACCCCTGCAGGGAAGGTCTGGGTGCAGCATCTCAGATGTGGACATGTGAGTGGGGACCCTGCTGAGCTCCACTTTCTCTGTTGGTTGTATCTATGGCCCCAGCTCTCCCCCGCCACAGGTCATCCTGCAGACGGGGTGTGATACAGTGTAGTGTAGAGGGCCCAGTACCTCAGGGCCTGCACTCAGCGCACAGCAGGTGCTCAGCATGTGGTCGGTCAGGAGAGGGACGATGCGGCATCGCCGTCCCATCTGCTCTCACGCCTCTCACCATGGTTGGTGGCTCAAACGGGATTTTGAACAGTGAAGGCCTTGGAGCCTGCTCAGTGCTGCACACCTAGAGGTGATGGCGATGGCCTAGCCTGATCCCTGCCCGCCAGATTGCAAGCTGGTAAGGCTGCATCATTTATCAGTGGAATTTTTTTCAGTTTATTTGTTTCTCCTATAAGTGAGAAAGAGATGGGACCAGCAGGTGGCGTAATGGCTACGTCGCTGGACTCCCATGCAGTCGACCATGGTTTGCGTCCTGGACCCGGTGGCTTAAACTCACGCCGGACACGTGTGCGTGCGTGCACAAGATCCCTCGAGGAGAATGGAGGAGAAGGGATTGTGGTGTGGCCATCACCCCTGGGGAGTGAGTTCTCGCTTTCTGTCTCTCTCTCTCTGTCTTTCTGGCGAGCACACACACCCTGTAGCAAAAAACCCTCAAAACAAAAAAGTGAGAAAGAGAGAGAGATGACAGTCCCTCCAACAGGTCTTGATGCTACTAATCACTCCCAACCCCAGCTGCCCCTAAATCATGGGCCTGCTTGTGCCCTGCAGACCCAGGAAGGTAGCAGTGCAAATCCAGAACGTTCCCCTGTGGGTCAGCCTCACAGAACCTCGTGTTTTACTGCAGCATCACCTTCTGGCTCATACCAGTAGAGTCCCCATCAGTGGAAATTTTATCGTTTGTTTTCATTTTTGCTAGAGGGCACACACACTTACCAGAGAGACAAAGAGAGGGAGAAAGCACCCCCAATAGACGCAATCCCGTCTCCATTTCTCTATCCTCTTGGAATTTGGGGCATGCACATGTATGTGCCTGGTGTTTTTCAAGCCACCAGGGCCAGGATTCAAACAGTGCAGTCAGCTGAGGGATCCAGCTGCCTCAAACAGTAGGCCCTGGACTTGGCTTAGAACTGGAGGGAGAACGCCGTTTGGTCACTTCTCCCTAAATGCTCCATGAGTAAGTGCTGTTATGGGTTCTAGAGACCCTGTCCCACTTCCAGATGGGTTTTCTCATCACTGGGGACCTGCTCCCAATCATCAGTCAGAATTATACAGCCTGACTGAGTGTTCCCCCCAGGAAGGCTCTGCAGAGACTTCTGGGGGCATAGAAATCGGGTGGGGCTGGCAGGACACATGTGGCAGTAACCTGAGGGAACTGGAGGACCATCCAGAAGTTCACCTTGGCTTACTGATGGGGAAATGGAGGCCTGAGAGGGCAGGGGTCTTGTCTGAATTGAGACTGGATAGAGCCCTGGATTGGTGAGCCCATTTTCCCACACTGCACTTTTGCAAGTGATTATTGCTACATGTGACTTTCTGTCCTAACAAGAGAGCATAAATGAGCCATATTCAATTGAGTGTAGTGGTTAACACATGGGAACCAGGCTCTGGAGCTAGGTTGCTTGTGTTCAAATCCTGCCTGTGTATCCTGGGCAGGTTACTGAGCTTCTGCTCGTTATCTGTGAAATGGACATACTACTAGTGCCTACTTCATAGAGATACTAAACGGGTTGATGCATCTAAAGCATTTGAACATAGCTTGGCACACAGGATGTGCTAATAAGCATTAGCTGCTGTTCTTGTGATGATGATGACGTTGGTGGTGCCGTTGATGGTGATAGTGGTGATGACGGAGGTGGTGATAGTGATGTTGAAGATGCAGGCAACGTGAATGATGATGGTGATGTTGGTAGTGACCATGCTGATAGCAATGTTGATGAAGTTAATGTGAATGATAATGGCGAGATTGATTATGATGGTG